AGAATGTAGGTTGATTTTTGTATTTCTTTTGGTTTTTCGAGGTGAAGGCGGAGGTGGGATCTGGTGTTGTCGTCTACGTACGTTAAGTTTTGTCTTGCAAATTTCATTTTGGTTCCTGCGTTTCCTGGACGAGTTCATACTCAGACGAACTGATCGTTGGGGCGTGCGAATGAATAAAGTTTTGTTACAGAATTCTTCTCGAGCGAGGAGAATCCGCACTACGAAGTGTTGATACAAGTGCTGAAGAGATTGCAGGCTGATTCCGACAGAGACGTCCGCTACTTCGCCTCTCTGTTCCCTTCAGTTGAGGGGGTAAGTGACTGATTTTGGAAAGTGCCAAATCCGAATTATGGCGAGAGAGAGACGTGATCTCGGAACAGAGCCGAGAATATCTCCCATTTGCGTTTGTATTTTACTGTTTTCGTTGCAGGTTTCCGCCGCTGAGAATATATGAAGAAAAGAAGTAATAGGCCGTTTGTTATCCGTAATCCTTGCCCGTTCGGAATCCCCAGACTTCGCTCGCCTCTCGCCGTACAGATTCCAGATTCAAAATGTACAATAATTGGCATATAAAGTGACTGTATTTGGGGGATCAGCTCTTTATGATAACTTTAATGCATATTACATGTTTTATTTCTTATAAACAGTGATAAATTGATTAATTATTGTTAAGTGCTGATTATGTAAATATCGAGTGACTTGGATCACTCGTCAGGTGGAAATTTTGTATTTCTCTAATGATTACTTGTGTAATATTTTTATTGTTCAATGATGTTTTTATTTATTTAATGTTTCCCTCTGATCCATCTTCTTCGTTGTTGATGATTACCATTCCGTCCTGTTCCCAAATCCTTGCGTTGCCTCGTGAGTGGTTAACCCTTTGAAGCTTAAAGTCTTTGAAATAATTTTTAAAAATTAGGTTCCTACTGCAGAGAAAACACAACTCAATCAAAATAAAGATCGATCACTTGGTCGGTGTTGTTTAAGAAAATAATTTCTGTTTACTTTGAGAATCGTAATTATTCTCCGAGATTGCACATTTTCCTCGTAATGTACTTATGGTCCCATTAATTTTGCTACAATTTCGATTGATTCAGTAACCGCGAAATGTTTCTTTTCGAATTTCACGTGTTTTGGCGTGCGTTGGGATCCGGTCCAAGTTTCTTTTCGAAACGACGTTTGCTCCGGTTGCAAGTATAATTTTTGTTCTCGGTTCCTTAATTATGTTGCCGCAGTCGTTTAATTAGAATCGACACGTTTCGTAAGACTCGATGGCAACGCAGAAAGAAGGAAAATCATCAATTTTCGTAGAAACTACGCACTACGACATGTTGACAGACGCGGAGATTCGTATTTGTCCGTCCCAGAAGCAATCGCGTGTCTCTTGTAGAACGGTGGTGTCGTACTTAACCTAGAAGTGCGCGAGATACTGACATTCCAGCAATGCAATGAAATTTGTTCTTTATAAATAAGCAGTGTTCGGTCTGACAAAAAACTTAAAAAATCGTGGAGATTTTGTCTCGAAATTTTGGTTATGTTAATTTCCATTTGATTTTGTTTTGGTGTCTGATGTATCACGCGATTACAAAATGTCGCCCAAAACAATTATACTTTTTGATGAAAACGGTGCCCCGGGAGCGTCATAATGTTTAACGGTGTTCTTAGGTGGGTTCGGAAGCCGAGCATGACACGTCTTTGTCTTGTTTCGACTGTAATGGGAATTTTTTTCAAATTCAAAGCCGCGAGAGAGAAAATTTCAGACCAGTCCTTTTATTCGTATTTTTAATGAATGATGATTGACCGGTGAATTCCACGTTGGAAATTTTGAAATAAGCAGGTAAGCAGATTTGCAAATTTTTTCGACCCCGTGATGACATCAGTAACTCTGGGTATGCAGCATTAATGATTGGATGAAGATAGCCATATGTGGGGTAAGTTAGATGCCACGTCCAATTATGTCTTAACTGTTGGCACATAACCTTGTTTGTGATATCGGACCCGTGAGGTGTAATTCGGATTCCAGATTGTATTGCAATATCTTAAGAACCATTCAAAATTTATTTATAAAATTTAGGTTTCAGTAAATTGTGTGGCTCTCCCGCTGAGAAACTGGTGGCTACATAAACTGGAGTTCGTAAAACAATTGAATGAAACGCTCGTATACATTAGGAGTGGTACATATCAGTTATGATTAAAGGACAGAAAATGTACGTAGAAAGTTAAATTATTCCCTAAAGCGAAATAGAGATAAACGGAGTTAAAAATTGTCGACACGCCAACTTTTTTTGAAATCTGTCTTGCAATGTAGCCACTGTTTGCTTTGAATAAACATGACAGTGTTTTTATCTAAAATTGACCACTTAATTATACGTGTTTTGATTATTCTAACATCCACTGATAATCCTGAGCCTCTAAGCAATGCAATGACGACTGCTTTGTATATTAAATTAAATTGTAATTTTTTTCCAAAATAATTTTTGCGTTTAATGTTAACGGAATGCGCCCAGGAAACTGTGAACAATATCTCTGTGCTGTGTTAGAATTATTCTATTTACATTCGACAGACTCGTCTCTGGGTTAAACCAAATGATGTAGAACATGTCATGATACAAGTACAGAGCTAATTTCACGTGGCTATAAATAAATTAGGAATTTTTCAAGAGATTAAAACATCTACAGAGTAGTATATTTATCTCATTTCAGAGTGAGGGGTGTTTAATATATGGATTCTAATATAAACTATGATAACCAGTAAGAATGTTACCCGGTCCTTTGACCGTAATGTTCCTTTTCATATCTGTTAGACACTTTATTACATTTTAATCTTGCCTCAACTTCTCGCATTTGGCCATCCTCCCACGTCCTGTTTATTTGGACAGGGTGCTTGTTTCTTTGCACACTGAAAATCCGGAGATAGTTACTTCGTGTGTGATGGAGAGAGCATCCAGGCCGCTTACAGCTCAGGATCTGGGATTCATTGACTTGGAAACATTCCTGCAGTTCTACTGTTGTGAGTACCGTTCTTAAGCTACGTCTCTGAAGGCCCAAGGCAAGATTCTGAGTCGCTTATATCCAGTTCACAACTTATGTTCTTAAGAGACCCATTTTAATATTATCTTCGTTTAAATTTTAACACGTAGCAGTAATATTTGTATCGTATAGGCCTGTAGAAAGTTCGGGATCGAATCTCGGCCCTGGGACCAGTCATATTTTAATTATTACTCTCCTGGGATAGTAAGTGCCATCAGGTACAATGTGTCGCCTACTTAAGGTCGAGGATTTAGAGATTATTTACGAGATCGCAGGTCCAATTTCTTACCGGTAGAAGTTTACGGACGTTTCAGAGGTCCTTGCTGCCTCCATCATCATCCTACTCGTCGCCCTGATGATGGAGGTATGAAGGACCTCTGAAACGTCGGTAAACTCCTACCAGACTACGCGGTGCTACAACCCAGAAGACAGCCATCTCGAGACTCAATGGCGTAAAAACCTCAAATCCTACACAAGCTTTTGGTATCTTAAACTACAAATTTCATGGTAGGAATTGCCGTTATAAATGAATCTCATCTTAATCGTTTCATTACAACTGTTTACCTCTGAGGCATAGAAATACTGTCATATAATGTCTTACATATAAAATAAAACACCTTATACTTCAAGAACTGGAACACAATTATCACTACAAATCCACACTCCTCAGGTCTAAACTATATCCACTTAAAAATACTCTCTTCGCATGTATCACAGTTACTTCTTCACTAGTAACAGAAAAGGAGGCATGCAGTTACAGACAATGATTCTGTTTTGTCCCAAACAAATATTAAGTCTATAACATATTTACTTTAGGGCACGGTACTCTATTAAGACTATTTTACTTCGTCTGAACTTAATGCCTTTAACAGAATTCTACCTTTGATATTTTGCAATAAGATTTAGATTTATTTTGCTGAATTTTAAATTGCTTGACTCAATTTGACATTGGAGCAGAACATTATTCCATCTTTCTACAATGGCAGTTGTTTCATGTAAAGCTCAGCCAAATAAATCACTTATTGCTTATGTTTTCGCAAATGGCGGCACTATTATGTAACCAAAATTATATGAAGAGTCTCTAACAAAAGAAATATTAAAAAGACTTACAGTTATTATCGCATGCAATATTGTAGCATAATTTCCAAAACATAAAAAAGAACACTACAACCTAACAAACATCTATCTGGACATGCAAATGCATCGTTCAAACATCAAGAGACCAAGACCGAAAGTACATTATAAACAATGCATCTACAAGCACATACACACGTGCACGCACACACAGAAAACAGAAGACAAGATCAGTTAATTAAAACATTATATATATATATATATATAATGTTCAAACCAATAAACCATAGTATAAACAACACACACTTAAAAAAAAACACAAGTAATACATTAATAAATGGTAAAACTGAAACGGTTATAAGTCTATGACTAGAGGTCATGTGCCCAGACTGTAACAATTACCTACAGAACTTCACAGGAATAAGCAACTTTGCAATGCAGCTCCCACATGTTTTTAGACAATTTCTCAATATTGTAAACTCTAAATATTATTGTGTAGATTATTTTTTTAATTCCATCAATCATTTGGGTGGTTAAAAAAACCATAACATTTCAAAGTTTATTCTACTTCTGGCTTCAAACTGTAGAGGTTTGAGAGGGCTTCGACTAGATGGCCCAACAGGCCACACTCTTGTCCTCCTGCCAACTTAAGACAGAAGTATTACAAACTTTCAAAATGTTGTAGTTTTCTAAAACATTTGACCAATGAATGAAGTATAGCTGATAAATAAAGACACACCTCCAAAACTCAGTACTGCTGCAATATGTGTCTGAGCCAAAGATGTCTCATAGTATGTACACAACATATTTAAACTACATTTCCTCTAATTCGGTGTTTAACTATCAATTTTAAGCAAAAATTTCAAGTGAGATTACATGTTCAAGAAGGAAATACATGGAATTTGAGTTTTTCAAAGTCAGTCCTAATGATTTAAATTTTTCAACATGCAGAATGCAACAATTTTAATACCAATGTTGGTGATGCACACCACCTGTTAACAAATTTTCCTTGCTGCCTCCATCATCATCCTACTCGTCGCCCTGAGTCCTGATGATGGAGGCAGCAAGCACCTCTGAAACGTCGCGTAAACTTATACCAGACTACGACAACCCAGAAGTCAGCCATCTTCGGACTCACCGCCTTGAAAACCTCAGATCCTACTCGGTTGATCTTTGTAATGGTGAAGTGCAGTGTTTTCTTCGCGGTACGGACTGAATTATATTAAATGTTACTTAGACGAGCTTCGACTTCAAAGGGTCACACTCGCGTTTGACATTTGTTCAGGACACAAAGAACACGTCTCGCGAAAAAGATGGCTGTCTTCTGGGTCGATGCCCTGATGATGGAAGCTGTAACCACCTCTGAAACGTCGTTAAACTTCTACCAGACTACATGGCGCTACAACCCAGAAGACCCGTAGTCTTCGAATCTACCGGATCCAACAGGTATCTCCTCGCGTTTTACCTGGACCCCTCCACACGGCGAGTTTTAAGGTTGTGAGATTTTTTTAATACTTGAAAAGAAAGATCGAGGACTCATCAGGTTTTGCTTTAATCATCTCCTGTACTATTTTTCACCCGTTGAAACGCATTCTTTTAAAAGCTGGAGCGATCTAACTATGGCAAATGCCTGAAAATGTTCTCTCGTCTTAAGGGTTCCGAAGAGCTTCTTGTGATCAGTTGTATCTGCCGTGCCGACGGGCAAAGGCTACCCAACTCACTGTTGATAGGACGAGATGACTCCAGTAGCTCAAAATTCTGTGACTGATTTCATTGGTATCGAAACGTCGAACATGTCCCTCTAACATTTCTGTTAAACGATAGAGCTAGTTCCTATACTCGGCCCATAAAATCAAGACGATGGATAATTTCCAAAGAGTTCGTTTTAATTTATATTAAAGGTGCACTCATCGCCCTGATGATGGAGGCAGCAAGGATATTTGAAACGTTGGTAAACTTCTACCAGACTACGCGTCGCTGTAACCCCAAAAACAGCTATCTTCTTGCATTTTATTTTGTGATTAGAATACCCTTTCTACTTTTCCACGAACCATAGTTTGTACACCCCTACGCAGACGGCATCAGGAAAATGTTATGAAAGATGGGCTCGTCCCCTTGTCAAAGTGCCATCTTTGTAATTCGTGAGGCTGTACTGAGGAGAATCATGAAAAGACGCTGCCCGTTCTCCGGTAGAGAGTTAAGAAAGAAGTCACGTTAAGTTACGTGAGACTCCAGAAGGCACGCCTTTCACTTTTGAACAGACGATCTATTTATGTTCATCCAAACGCACGTGGCAGGGCATTCAGCACCAAATTACAGCTTTAAAGAAGTCATAATGTGTTCTAACTTTGCAAGATTCGACGGGGACCGTGCCAAATACGTTCTGCCTTAAAAATTGGGAAATGAAATCCATAAAATCAGCGTGCACAATTGTTCGGCCACGTCCATTCGTTTGTCATCTGCGAAATTACTTTATAAATTTTGATCGAATATTTCTTTTGGCACTAGAAGTGTACTAACTTAATTTGTCTTAAATTGAAACCAAACTTTGTAGAGTTCCTAAAGAAGACTATTCACAGCACAAGAAACTGATGCATTTGTACGACATAAAATACAGATAGTCCGTCCATAAAGATTTATAAATAATTCTGCAGTAACCGACATCAAGGCTGTTAGTGAATGAACACAGTTGTAAATATTTATTCTGGACTCTGTGCACCCCTAAGAATCTTTGTTCTAAGGATTAAACCCACTCCAGGAAGGCGTATGTCTAACCTAACCTTAATATCAGCGCTTTATAGGAGTGAGTGGTCAGCTTCAGAACCACAACATCCATTAAACACTTCAAAGCCGAAGTTCGTCGAAATATTTAAGAATTCAGTCCGTACCGCAAAGAAAACACAACTATTCACCATTACTTATCTGTTTGAGAAAAAATCTTCTTTACGCTGAGACGCATATGAAACCTACAGATACAATGTCGGGATAGTAAATAAAAATAGTCCACGACCGCTTCCTTCTGTGACAAGGTTACTGAACCTCTACCAGACCTAGGTCCCCATTCAGCGATGTATTGAAACTTCATGGCAGTTTATTAAAAATGCTACAAACTTGAGAATCCTTGTTCTATGTAATGTTCCAATTCATTAATTATCTTTTCGTTCGACACTATTTAATCTTGAGCTACTCACAGCGCCTTTAAATAAATTATAAGTAGATTTATACAACGCAAGAAGCGAGAAGTGTAATCTTTTGCAATTGATGAACCATTCGGGACGGACTCCCAGAAACCACTTTACTCCGCGTGTGGAGAATGTCGTCCGACTCCTGTCAGATTGAAGCGGGAGGCATCCTTGTTCCACCAGGTGCGCAGACCCCCCGGTCCAAATTCCAACAACAGTATAAAACCGCTGAAACGTGCAATATGCGAGGCCGACAGCTGGTTTGGAAATCCGTGCTCCCTCTGCCAATCG